GGCCAGAGTGAAGCTGGAAGACACGAAGTAACTTCCCGGCTCACTGATATAACTCTTATGGTCGGATCGAGGTCCCGTATCGTCTCGTTAACAATGCTCGCAATCTGAAGCAATCACGGAGAAGTGTGTAACACGTGTGTAAACGGACGATTTAAGTGAAAAATGTAAGTGAACAACAATATCTGAAAAATCGAGCGTTTCCTCGCGAACGAATTTGCGATCGATCTCTTTCGAATAAAAAAAAATAAAAAGTAAATGTAAGAAAATTAATAAAAAATAACTATTCTGTTTAAGTAAATCGAGCGTTTCCTCGCGAACGAATTTGCGATTGATCTCTTTCAAATAAAAAAAAATAAAAAGTAAATGTAAGAAAATTAATAAAAAATAACTATTCTGTTTAATTATTTAACATTCGTGCGGTTTCCTTCTTAAATAAATGCTAAATAAAAAATGTACGTGAATAACAATATTTAAAAATTCTGCCGATTTCGAATGCCGCAAATCACATTCACAATCAATCCTCTTCTAATTATAACTTTGATGAGAAACGCATGTGAATAACGATATCCAGAACATCAAGCGTATTTTTGCGATTACGAATCGTGCGAATTAATATGCAATCGATTTTTTCCGATTGTAAAATTGGAATGACAATGTTGGAGTGATCGCTTCGTTTAATTTTCCAACCTTCGTTCGATGTTGTCTTTAAATAAATTCTAAATGAGAAATGGATGTAAATAACAATAGTTAAAAAAGAATGTTTCTTCGTGATTGCAAACTCCATGAAAAAATGGCTATCACTCTCTTGCGATCATAAAAATCGAAGAACCTTTTCGTTTACTTTTTTACCATTCATTCAATTCGCTCTAACCTGCTTAGTAACACGATTTATTGTTGAATTAAAAACTGATAGATCTTATTTGAGATATATATTTGACGTACCTCGTCGAGATTCGTTCCGCTTTCGCCCGGAAATCCACCGCCAATGTCGATCAGCTGCACATTGTCGCAGCCAATGCTTTTGGAGACAGTAATTAACTGTTTGCATATCTCGATCGCTCGGCCGTAAGCCTCCGGCTCGCCGCACGGGGAGCCAACGTGAAAGCTGAAGCCGTGCAAATTTAGACCGAGGTTCTTTGTGAGATGTATCAAGCGCACAGTCTCGTCGTTCGACTCGCAGCCGAATTTCAAACCCAACACAGTCGGCGTGTTTTTCGCATCGCAGCGTATGCGTATGACGATTCTGCCGCACAAAACCAATCGTTTGCTCAACGAAACGTGAAGCGATAACTAGGATAAAAAAAAATGCTCGTTACAAATTATCGGGCCGTCGAGCCACTTACTTGGCCTCCGGAAAGAGATCCTTGATCTTGAACAGCTCGGATTCATTGTCCACTGTCATCTGCTTGACGCCCACTTTCTTCGCATAGGTTATATGAGACGGATACTTGGTCGGGTGTGCGAAGATGATCCGATCGCCGTGTACTCCATGCTGCATCACTAGCTTTATCTCTTGCTGTTTGCAAACGTAATTTATTTTCAGGTGTCTTACATGAGTTAAGGTTGTTTCTAACTGTCTGTTTGGATGATGACAGACAAGCACCCGTCAATCTTTCCAGGTGGCGAATTTTAATGATTACTTATGAAATTTTATTTAGTAGCCGGTATTTGTTATAATGCATTTTTTTACTTTTAAGCATTTCGAAACACTTTCAATGTACATTTTAGCACTTAATTATACATACTTCCTCAATCTCCTTAAACTTGAGAATATTATCATACGAAAATATGTATGTTTTTTGTTATTTAACATTTTTGTCATGCTAAATTAAACAATAGCATGGCATTTTGCTAATGTGATTACTCAAAGAGTACTGATAATACGACCTGTCTCAAGGTTTTCACATATCGAAATAATTATTTGATAAGTCGATTCTAATCTAATTTGTAGTTTACTGCTGTACTATTATTCTGACTGCTTGTATCTTCTGACAAGCAAGTCAATATCTACATTGAAAATTCACGGTAATATTTAAATTCAAAAAACAATTATATTTGTTTATAAACTAAATTTCTTAAATCTGTTTTAGTTGGAAACCACATTTTCACCTCTGTTTCTCTTCAACATATTATGCAATACCATCTTAGGTAATAAATATTTTATAAATTTGAGTCCAGAATCGATTGAACAATATTTTGTCAAATGTAATCGTTCAGTTCTCAATTTAAACTATTAATTATTGACAAAGTTATTGTACAAAATGTAAATGGAGAAACCATAATAATACCTTTCCCTCTACTATTTTTTTCTATCAAATAATATGGTATATGCTAATAAGACAACATTTTCATTCAAACAAAATACGATATTTGATATTAAATTATATCGTTTATATTAAATCAAGTCAAACAAACACATGTACTAAATCCAAAGAAATATTTTTCTCTGTGTGTAGACGGATAGTGAGAATCAATCTTTGTTTGATAATCGCGTGGAAAAATAGAAATATTTGTACCTCGGATGCGCAGTCGAAACAAACGTCTAAAGCTGCCAAAACTTTAATCACCGTTAGATCTGGATTGCATTTAACCGCTGAGATTGAAAAAGGGCAAAAGATTAGTAATATCTTTTCTTTGCAACTTTTTTCAATGCCACTGTTGCACATTTATCATAATAGAAAAGCGGCGAACGTAATGAGAAATAGATACCGAAGTGCGGGGCGACACTGGGCATCTTGGTGATCCACTCGTCGTGTTTTTGAATCACGTTACCGATATTCGCGATGTAGAAAGCCTTTTCTTGAAATACCGTGTCAGTTATGGTCTTTATTACGTCCATGTCGTTCATAGAGTCGTCGAAGACCTTTATCTCGTTGAAGTTGTACTGTGCCATGTCGAACCGCTAGAGTGCAGCTCAATTCTTAAAAAAGAAACAACGGAAACAGAAACGAACGAACGAACGAACGTGCTTCCTGAAAAAGAAGTGCAAATATTTATTACATATATAGCTACAAGTTACATTTTGAAAATATTGATCAACGATATACCGTCGCTATTTTTCGTGCCACCACACATGTTATTTGATTAAATTTCAAGATCGCGAATAAACTTTGGTTGTAAAAATAAACAGATTGATAGCTATTTTCATCGTTTATATCGGTCCGCGTTTTATTGGTATTCGTCCAGCCGTCGCCGCATCGTTGCTACTTAATGCAACGAAGTAAGTTTGTTCTTTTTCATATGACTGCCATTAATATGCAAATAATAAAGGCAGTGTAAATAATTAAATAATTTGCATAGAAATAATTTTGTTCACAAACCATTAAAGAAAACATTATTTGCACTGACCTTACTGATAAAAATATCTACATTCACTTATGAAACATATATGCTGGAGTAATTATGCGCCGCCCATTTCAGCGCATTCATTTTAACAATTATAGATTTCCGATAGTGAAATATCGTTATTTCGACGTTTAGTATTTCGCGCATGCTTAACGTAGCCATCGTTGCTACTTAATGCAACGAAGTAAGTTTGTTCTTTTTCATATGACTGCTATTAATATGCAAATAATAAAGGCAGTGTAAATAATTAAATAATTTGCATAGAAATAATTTTGTTCACAAACCATTAAAGAAAACATTATTTGCACTGACCTTACTGATAAAAATATCTACATTCACTTATGAAACATATATGCTGGAGTAATCATGCGCCGCCCATTTCAGCGCATTCATTTTAACAATTATAGATTTCCGATAGTGAAATATCGTTATTTCGACGTTTAGTATTTCGCGCATGCTTAACGTAGCCATCGTTGCTACTTAATGCAACGAAGTAAGTTTGTTCTTTTTCATATGACTGCTATTAATATGCAAATAATAAAGGCAGTGTAAATAATTAAATAATTTGCATAGAAATAATTTTGTTCACAAACCATTAAAGAAAACATTATTTGCACTGACCTTACTGATAAAAATAGTCCCGTGCATTTACTGATGTGTGAGGAATATATATTGTTTACAAATTATATATCATTTACAAATTAAATATCATTTATAAATTACACAATATTTCCTTAAAAAATTAAGTTCTGACAGACGCGAGCGATGATATAAACATATTGAGAAACAAATTTATTTGTGAGATATGTAGTTTATTTCATATTTATTGACTAGAAAAAAATTTGACTATGATGACGGAATATATATTAGGTTGGTGCGTATGAAATGTCGCATTCTCTTTACATGCGGACGTTTTCCTCCCTGTTTTCGTTATACTTTTGTATTTGGCATAACCTCATTCATACTCGTATTGTCCATTGCCAGAGACTCATTTCAACAAAATAGGTTTTCTCGAAGGTCTTCCCTTTTTTATTTCTTTTGAGTTTATTACCGATATGAATTCTGCCGACATTCGCGTCATTTTCTTATATGAGTACAAACTTGGTAATAGTGCTGCAAAAGCTGCACGCAACATAAACCAAGCGTTTGGGGAGAATACGGTTAACAATCGGAAAGTGCAGCGTTGGTTCGAAAAATTTCGGACTGGCGATTTTTCACTGCAAAATGAGCCGCGCGGAAGACCCAAAACGTCTGTGAATAATGATGACCTGAAGGCTCTAGTGGAAGCGGATCCAGCCGTATCCACGAGGGAACTTGCTATCAGGATGAAAGTTGACCATACAACGATATTGAGACACCAAATTGTACTCCCATCGCTTGTGAATCGGCATGGCCCGCTACTGCTCCATGACAACGCTCGGCCGCACACATCGCACAAAACAATTGCGAAACTGAACGAACTGGAATATGAAGTTTTGCAGCATCCACCATATTCACCGGATCTCTCGCCGACCGATTTTCATTTTTTCAAGCATTTAGAGCTGTTTTTAAGAGGCAAACACCATGAAAATGAAGACAGTCTAAAAAACTCGATATCAGAGTTTATTAATTCTAAAGACCAAAATTTTTTTAAGACAGGCATCTACGCTTTAAAATCTCGTTGGGAGAAGTGTATTGAAGCGAATGGAGCATACTTTGATTGAATAAACAGCTTTTGAAGAAAGATATACAGTTTTATACAATCACTTAAGAATCCGACATTTCATATGCACCAACCTAATATTTTTGTGAAATATTTCTATCTTTTCTTATTAATTGGTTTATTTACTAAAAATAAAATTTGATTTCACCGTAATAAAATAAACGTTTATTTCTATGAAATAACTCACAATATAATATGTTATATTTCACAAATAAATTTTCTTTTGAGTTTTGAAAAAGTCTTTTTTCTCAATGTAGTCATTTATGCAGAGAGTTGAGCTTGTTACAGTGCGCCGTTCAGTATGCATGTCAGAATGTATGAAATCGTGCAACGTACTAGTCTCAGAAATATTTCCCTAATAACATAAATTAGGAAAAGATTACCTTCAGAAAGCAGATTTAAGCTTTTACACGGATTTAAGCAGTGCAACTAATATGTCTAATGTCGCATAAACTAATCTGCCATTTGCTGTACTGTGTGTTACAATTATTTGCCACGTCTCTTTATGTTACTACGTTGGGCAAAAGTTTACGGTGCAATAGCGGGAGCGCATGGACTTCAACCGATGATTTTCAAATTAACAATTTTATTCAAATAACAATCCCAATTATTTCGACGAGATTGTTACCGTAATATTTAAATTTAATTGAAACAAATATATCGATTCAAACAAAAAATTTAGTTAATGTTATGTTTCATTTGATGATCTTCATTTCTTGATCTTTGACGATCTTGATTTCATGATCTTTTAAGAAAATATACAAAAATTACATACGCAATAAATAAATAACTCGCAATAAATAATAAATACGCAACAAATAAATAACTAAATAAATAATCGTTTAAGCAAGAATAAAGAACAGAAATTTTTAATAATGATCAGGCGGAAAGAAATATGATTAGAACGAACA